TCCAAAGCTGTCCCTGTAGATGCCCTCCACCACTGTATTTTCCTTATTTTTACCCTTTCATTTTTTTTAAAATGTTTTTGTGTGATGTGCAGCATCCTCTTCTTCTTCAGATCTTCTCCAGCACTGGATGGTCATCAATAATGCAGACAGCGGCGCTAATGTGATGGTGTCATTGATGCTCTCACTATCATAAAGGCCGTGACACACTGCACGCAAAGCATGGCTGAAGATGAAATTTTTCATCTCGGCACGCTCAGCTACGCGAGCTCTCGCAAGCTGAGCTGCCGAGGAGAAAACTGCATGACACACTGCTCGCAAAGGCAGCGCGCCACCGATCTGCGCTGCTTCGCGTGCAGTGTGTTACGGCCTTTACACTGTTAGTGCAGGGTGCCGTGGTTGTCCTATGTACACAATTTGCACAAGTTGCTGTGAGTTTTGTTTTTCAATTAAACATAGATGACAGGAGAATCCCACAGAACACACCAGCCCAAAAATACTGAGCAATTCTTTTGTTAAATGCCTAAATTTACCAGTTTGCACCTGGCTTGGAGATCTAAAATCTGTCTTGGGTTTAAATAATATTTTTTTAGAAAGTAATTTGTTGTGCTGCAGAAACAACATGACTGATGGATTTGTCAATTTTTGTCCCTCTGTTAAAACCCCGCGGAATAAGGCGCCAGCTACGTTTCTCCTCCTCCTCTGCCTTACCCTTCTCAATATTTAACTTCTCTAATGGTAACAAAGAAAACAGCTCTACATATTCCCCTTTCCAAATCTTCTCCCGAACCTCCGGCTTCAAATGCACCCCCAAAGAGCCTTCGAAGCAAACATACACCTGCCCCTTCGCCGAATCCGCCAAGCGAACCGCGTCAGCGTCCTTCACCGCAGGGGCACATGCCGGACCCGGCGCTGCTGTCGCGGCAGCCGTCTCCCCAACAACGGCAATAGAGGTGACACCCCCCACCCTGTCCAGCGGCCCTATGCCGCACCACCTCAGGAGGTGCCGTGAACCCCCCGGCAAACTGCGGCGCAGGCGAAGCGCCCACGGGCAACCAAGCCCCCACCGGTCCCGGAGGCGGCGCCACGGTCCTAGCAAAATCGCAATGAGCCAGCAAAGATCTAAACCACCTCAAACAATTCAAAAACGCCACCCAAGGGG